ACTTAAGGATACTTTGCTAGTCATACCATTCAATCCTTACCATCTTGATGCAGCTAGGCCTTTGAAATCCATTGCCGGACTTAAACGTCCCTGGGGCATTGCTGTAAGCAGTGATGGCCATATTATGGTAACAGAATGGGGTAATGGCTGCTTATCTATCCTAAATAAAGAAGGGCTAAAACTAGCTTCGATCGGTGGAGAAGATGGAATAGGATCTATCAAGTTTGTCTCTCCCCGTGGTGTTGCCATGACACATGACAATCTCATTCTGGTTACTGACGACCACAGAATATGCAAGATAGCAATGAATGGTAACTGCATTGCATCCGTTGGTGAAAAAGGGCATGGTAGGCTACAATTTAATACACCCTCTGGTGTCACAGTTTCTCCTATAACTGGCCAAATTTTTATAGCTGATCGTTACAATCATCGCATACAAGTACTCAATCAAGACCTAACTTTCTCACATTGTCTTGACAAGCAGGGAACTGGTCCTGGAGAATTCTTTAAACCTCGTGGTGTTGCCTTTGATACTGAAGGATCATTCCTGTACGTTGCTGACTGCAATAATCACCGGATTCAGAAATTTACTCCAGAAGGAAAGTTTGTGGCTCAGTTTGGCAGTAAAGGATCTGATCCTGGTCAGCTCTTTTCGCCTGGTGCTATTGCTATTGATGATAACAATTTAGTGTATGTTACAGAATGGGAGAATAGGAGATTATCCGTCTTTACCGGCAATGGAGATTTTGTTAGTAGCTATGGTGGCAATGGTAGTAGTAATCAGTTTAACCTTCGACAGGTATAGCTTTTGATGGCAAAGGGACAATGTATGTTTGTGATTTTGATAACAACAGCTTGGTGATGTATTAATAATTCTTTATGCTACTCTGTAAAATAATTATTTTTGAATTTATTATTATTATTTGCTGCACAATTAGTGCCTCCTAATAAAGGTGCTGCCCAATGTTAGTATAAAAATAGAGAATAGGTCACTAGCCTAGAGTTGTTGGCGTGGCTAGTCAATGGAATAAAATTTGATTCAAAGCATCATCATCATGTAAAATCTAAAACATTAATGATAATGATAAAAATTATGTGAAATTATTACTGAGAAGTCCTGGGCTTTAAACTGATCTCAAAGTGACAATTATCATCATCAAGGAAATAGCACTCTTATTTTTCTGTATAAGACCCCTTCTGCTTCTACAATGAGTGTCTGCGGCCATACCACGTTGAAAGCACCAGTTCCCATCTGAACACTGAAGTTAAGCAACGTCGGGCCGGCTTAGTACTTGGATGGGTGACCGCCTAGGAATCGCCGGTGTCGCAGACTTTTTATTTTATTTTTAATATTCATTTTTTTAATCATCCTAATTTTGCCTATCCAACTTGCCAAAAAAAGAATAGAACAGATAATATCTGTTCTATTCTTTTTTTGGCAAGTTGGATCTGTTCTATTCTTTTTTTGGCAAGTTGGATAGGCAAAATAAGCATGAATAAAACCAGGGGAAGCTCCAAAGCATGAATTCAACATGAAGAATTGTAGCAACAAGAAGTAAGTGACATGGCAAGCATCTTATATTATCTGTATCATGTGTTTAATCTTAAAATAAGTCAAACAGCACTGAAGCAAAAGGGCATGGCACTTAGATAATCACCTGTCCATTGCTTGCCAGCTATGACTTAATTGTATTACTTGTTCACACTTCATGTAATAGAATTTTGATGTTACACTCAGTGTTAATTAGCACATGCCGAACTATTTCGTTGCTTTCAATTATTATGTATAATTATTTCTAATTATAGGTATTTCATATTTGTCGACCATGCCACACCCAGTCATGTTACACATCTCATCCTCTTTAATAATACTTCATAATACTCACACGGTCAGTCAG